ATCCTCCTGCCTCAGCCTCCCGAGTGCTGGGATTACAGGCGTGCGCCACCACGCCCGGCTTCCGTGCTCTTTTCTGACTTTCTCCCTCGCTTTAAAGGACTTCTGATGGGACCAGGGGCACGATTCCCTTTCTCTGTGCCGAATATGGGTTTCCCAAACCCCGTCTCTCCTTCTAGACGTTCTTCTCCCAATTATCAACAAACCACAGTTAACGCAGTCTTCCTTCTACTAGGTTCCAGCATACTCTAGCTAAGGCAGACCTCGCTAGGATACTCACTGTGATCTTGAACCAGCTCTGCGCGCTTCTCTCCTGTGTGCCCTCAGCCAGAGCGCTCTCCTGAGACTGTGGGTCTCTGCGCACGGTAACAAGAAACTGGTGTGCGTCACTCCATTTCTGTCTCCTCTTGTTGCAGCTTCTGGCATAAGGGTTGCTGGCCAAGGGAGAGCAGGACAGTGTCCATAGATGAGAAGAAGGCCTTCTGTACACCCTCCCCGTACTGGCAGCAGGGCCACAACTAAGACTGCTCAACCAATATTCCACATCTAGCAATCTTCACGTGACCGGTGAAGAGATGAAAACTAAGGCTGCAGAAAGTGAAAGAGTCACGCAGTTCTAGGCCTGCTACCAGCAAACCAGGCTTTCCGAGCACTTACTACCTTGCTCGGGGATCCTCGCGCACATCCCTCATCCGGTGTCCATCATCCTCCTCGAAGTGCGAAGGCCGAAGCCCATGCGTGCCACGTTCGTAACGAACGCACCTCCTGTCAAATTTGCCGTGGGAAGAACTCCCACCTCTCCTTCCTTCAGGAACGCTGATGCCATTACTATAGTCTGAAACAGGGAACGAAGATACATGCTCAAAGACAAGTCAGTGCTCCACTTACCACATATCACATCATCCTTTAATGCATTAGATACTCTACTATCCAATTTATTCACTGGTTTGGCAAAGGCCCGAAGCTTATCAGTACTGGTGTTTTACACCAGGGTCAATCACACCTAATTGCTGGAACTGTCGGACTGTCAGGAGATTAAGGAAGAGGGAATTCTAGCACGAAAGTAAAGGAATTTGTCTATAAACACATAGGAACCCCACTGAAGAGAGTAGTGGGTGGTGTAGAACAGAAGAGAAAGGATACTTACTGCCTTTGAAATCATACCCGCCTGGATTCAAACTCAGATTCTGTCACTTAGGGCCTCTGTGATTCTAGGCAAGTCCTTAACTTCCCTCGGCTTCCATTCCTCGACACGGCACAGTGCCGCCATTTGCCAAGGGTTTCCACTGTCCCTTGCAGTTCCCAACTGCCATCATTTGGTTGGGGGATCTGAGCGACTAGCTCGGGCCAAACCACTTGTGAGTGTCCGGTGCTATTCCTAGACCGAACCATCTGGTTCCCAGTTTGAGATGCTCTGGGGCTCTCTCTTCCCTTCCGGCACAATATATGACCATTTTCATTCTAGACACATGGCTGCTCCATCCGTTTGGGGAGCCCCATTATCCCACTTCGAGCCACTCAAGGTCCCAAACCATCCCATGTGGGATTTGCATCTGCCCCGGACATGTGGTTGGTGTGAACAGTAAGACACCCAGATGTGGGGCTTGCCTCTAACCATGGCCTAAGCCAACACCCCTGACTCTCATGTCATTTAAATTAACACCCTCGTGAGGATGAGGCCTGTTGCGGAGGGTGAAATGAGATAGCTCACACGACAAAGGTATCACACGCCTTGCCACACAACGGGGATTCAAAATTTGGCAGCTGTGGTTAGTCAGTGATAGCAAGGCAGTTGTGAAAACCTGTGGCTTCTTTGTATAAAGCGAGGGGCACTTAGCCTGCTCATGCTGACAGGTAAGTTGCGTCCTGTGCTCAGGCATGAGACACTTCACTGGACGCAACAGGTACCACTTCCTAATGACTCACGTTTATGTGCTTACTGTTACCCCCCGTGATATCAGAAGCATCCTTATACACTGGGGGTCCCTCGAAGGAAGGAAGAAAGGGGAGATCTGAGCAGCAGAGAAAGTGCCTAATGAGATAAGGTGAATTGGGGAGCTCTGAGCAACTTCTCAATGGGAAAAATAGGTTATAATTATTATAAACACGGGCTACATTATTCTCAGGTGGAAAGAGCAGAACACAGCTGTAACGTGGCAAAAGATGTGCACTACTTTGAACTGGATTTGAAACATTTCCTGACGGACGCTAGTATCTCCCAGGCTCTGTGGAAGAGCGTTCCACCGCCATAGGAGTTGCGGAACTACCTCTCCCTTGGAGATTTCTGTTACATAGCAGTGTGTTATCTAAAACGAGATGTGCTACAGCATGGAAATTAATTTACCTTTGTTTCTGTCTTCCTTGATCTTCTTTTCCTTAGAGAGCATTTTCGTTCTTGCTGGCTCTTGGCCTTAGTGCTTTGGAGAACAAACTGGGAAATGCCGAAATGAGAGAAAAATAGGGCACAATCCTGAAGCTTTTATCCATATTTGAAGATATCACAAAAACTGACACTAGTCCTCAGCCCCTTACCAAGCAACATTTACAACCTCATCAAAGGAAGCAGAATCTTGCTACTGGCTCAATTTTACTCATCCAGTACCATTTTCAGGACGTACCAGGTGTATCGCCTATGGTTCTGCTCAGTATTTTTCTTACACCTGTTCACTATAACTTTCCACAAGCAGAAAAAGGAGTTTTGGGGTGCCGTTTAAGAAACAATGCGTAGGCATGAGGGAGAAAAATCCCAAGCCAAGGCTGTTTGCCTGGACTGTTTCAAGCCATTCAGAGATCCTTTCAACAGAAAGGCTGTCTCCCTGCCCACTTCCAAATGTACCGTGTAAAACTGTCGCACTTCAAATGAAGTGTGATAACCTCGGAAACTTTACGTCGTGGCTACCGTGACACACACGTTGAAATATTCAACTTTTTACAAACCTTCCTTTCTCTCCGCGGCTCCGAACCGCGCCCCGCCCTCCTCCCGACACCGCCCATTCTCCAGGCCTGTGTTTGCCTCACAGGAAAATGAGTCAGGGGAACAAAGAGGATCTTTACAGACTAAAGTAAGAAGCGGAGGCCGAGATTGGATTTGGAACCATCTGAGCAACAAACCAACGAACTGGCATCTAAGAGGCCTCCGGTGTCCTCGGAAACAGCCCAGGCAGAGGAGTGGCCGAGGATGCGCTCCAGTGCAGGGACTGTGAGTCGGGCCGGGTGACAGGAAAAGGTACGGTTTTAGTCACGCGGTGAGGGAGGAGAGCGCGCTCCCGTCAGTTCCCAGCGCCCTGCTCTTGACAGATGACTCAAGAGCCGTGGAGGACCGCGGCCTCCCACGCCCCAGTCCACAGCCCCAGCACTGTGCCCTCCTTCGCCGCGCTCTCTGCCAACAACAGGCCCGGCCGGCGAGTCCGGAATCAGGTCAGGACGCGGGCGAAGGCTCCCACTCGCAGCGCCCCTCCCCGACACGCCCCCCGCACCCCGAATCTGTCCTCCGTGAGGTGGACGGAAATCTGGTCACGTGTGCTCACCTCCGCCCAACCGCTGCCCCTCACGCTCTGGGCCCTTCGGCGGCCACCAGGCTATCGCCGTGAGCCCGAGACCCTGAAGAAAACGGAACCGCGGGTAGAGCCCCTTTTACTGGAAAACCTTCTACCAGAGGTTCTAACAGTTTGTGGAAAGTTTGAGTTCTCGGCCAGATGAAAACTGGGCCCGAGCGCGGACACCAGGGAGACCTCTAACCTGTGTGAGTGAGTTCCGGCGCCGCCAGAGGCCGCCTTCCTGGGATATCAGGCGCGGGAACTGCACAGCCTCCTGCGTGACCTTTAGGGGGCGGCCCTTGGCACTGGAAGAAAGTGACGTGCGGGAGCGAGGCATTATGGGCCTCCGCGTCGCCGTGAGGGCTGAGCCTCGGGTGACGGGAGCGGGACACGTGTCCGCTCGGGTCTTCGGACGAATAGCAAGGATGACTTTGCCGCCAGGGTGGTGAAAGGCGGCACTTGGCTGAGGAAGCTGGAGACCAGCCTGAGCTACATCGTGAGTTCCAGGTCAG